CTGCAGTCATTTGTGAAAAAAATCAAGCCTGTTTCCCGTCTTCTATCACACAGTTTCTGTGGAAGGACATTAAGGGACTCAATTGGCACATCTTATTTTCAGTGAGAATGATGGAAGAATCCCCATGTCACAGCTCCGTGGTTTAAATTGTGGAGGTCAGATCAGACCCAAGTTGTCACTGCTCAAAGAGCGAGTGGGGCAGTTACTTTAGAAATCCTAACAAATGTGGAGCCGATGCTGATGTTCGGGGACCACCAAGGCACTTTCATAGTACCAGAGAGACACTTAGACCTTAACACCGTTATTCCTTCATCTTCATTATTCCTCCACTCTAAGCTTGGCAATCTTTCACTCATTCTTTCTTTTATCAAATGAAGTGTTTTTTGTATGTTTGTTTGTTTGTTTGTTTTAAAGATTTTTATTTCATTTGACAGAGATCACAAGTAGGCAGAAGGGCAGGCAGAGAGAGAAGGGGGGAAGCAGGCTCTCTGCTCAGCAGGGGCTGATGCGGGGCTCAATCCCAGGACCCTGGGATCATGACCTGAGCCAAAGGCAGAGGCTTTAACCCACTGAGCCACCCAGGCGCCCCCGAGGTGTTTATTTTTTTAAAAAAAGATTTATAGGGGCACCTGGGTGGCTCAGTGGGTTAAGCCGCTGCCTTCAGCTCAGGTCATGATCTCAGGGTCCTGGGATCGAGCCCCACATTGGGCTCTCTGCTTGACAGGGAGCCTGCTTCCCTCTCTCTCTCTGTCTCTGCCTGCCTCGCTGTCTACTTATGATCTCTCTCTGTCAAATAAATAAATAAAATCTTAAAAATAAATAAATAAAAATAAAAAAAGATTTATATATTTGAAAGAGTAAGGTGGGGGAGTGGGCAGAGGGAGAGGGAAAGAGAATCAGACAGACTCCCTCCTGAGCATAGAGCCCAGCATGGGGCTTAATCTCAAGAGCCTGAGATAATAACCTGATCCAAAATCAAGAGTCAGAAACTTAACCGACTGAGCCACCCAGGTCCCCCTCAAATGAGGGTGTTTATTATTCTAAGTGAGAAACACATTTGTAGCAGCACTCCAGCTGGTGTTAAAGGGTTAAGTTTCTCCAAGTTGACATACTCCTTACTTGATGACGTGAGGCCCTCCATCTGTAACAGAACTAATTTACTTTGAGATTTGCAGACCACTAGCCTTGAGGAGTGAAGAACCAGAACTTTCCCAGGCCACAGAGGCCAGCAGGTCTGTTTGAAGCCATGTCGGCTTTCTGATTAGCCTGGCCAGGTTTTTTTAGCAAAAGGTCACAGAAATGATTTCACTTACCTCCCTTTGTGTATCTGTAGAACTTGCCTTCCTTTGCAGAAAGAACAGGGTACTCCTGCACATCATGAAGCAAGAGCTCCCCCACCCCTGCCACAACTCCCGAACACTGAGCTAACTGGCACCATCAAGTCTGCTTGTGACAAATGTTGCAGCTTAAAGCACTCCCTTTGCTGAATAACTACTCTAAGCCTCTTTTTAAAAACCCTGGGCGGGGCTAAAACCTCAGAATTGGCTTTTGGACAAAAGTCTATCTTCTCCCGAGGTTGCCAGCCTCCTGAGTAAAACAAATTCCTTTCCAATCAAAACTTGTCTCTTGAGTAATGCTGACTTGGCTTCAGCAACACTTTCTTTGTACTGATCCCAGAAATTTGTGATTGATATAAAATTACTGATGAAATAAAGTGCGACCTGCTGCCCAGGACCAATAAGAAAGCACATGGGGCATACAGTTTTGTACTGATCATGGGAAGTTTTCAAAGACTAATCAGGGTTCTCCAGAGCAACACAGAGAAATTTTATATTCATTCTTTCCCTTGATAATACTGGCTTAATAGAGACATGAGAGACGGAGAGACATTTTTAAGGAATTGGCTTGTAAAAATGTGGAGGCTGGAAAGTCCAAGATCTTTTAGGGGAAACTGGCAATCTGGAGATTCAGGGAATAGAGGATGTTCAGGCCTTATCTGAAGACAGTCTAGAGACAGAATTCCATCTGTGGAATTCCTATCTGTGCCTTTGTCATCTGAAAATATATTGCATATTTTATCTATTATTTGTTTTGCCTGAAGTTTATCTTTCTTGATGATAACATCAGCTTAATTGAGGCAGGTTCTTTGCCAGATATTAATACTTCTCATTTACAAGAATAATGTTTGACACACATTACATAGAGAATTACATAGGAATTGAGATAACAGAAAAAGAGAAAACACTCTTAAAAAGTTGAGTTGTTAAAAAAAAATAGATTGTAAAGGTATGAGCGAGAAGTGGTAGAAGCAGGAGAAGCAGGAGAAGCAGGAGATGTACTGGATGGAAGAGTGAAGTGTAATTGCTTCAAAGTATCCAACGCAGGGGCACCTGGGTGGCTCGGTTCGTTGGGCATCTGCCTTGGGCTCAGGTTAGGATCCTGGGATCCTGAGATCTGAGCCAGGAGGTGGGCTACTTGCTCAGTGGGGAGCCTGCTTCTCTTTCTCCCTCTGTCCCTCCCACCTGTACATGGTCTCTCTCTCAGATGAGCATATAAAATCTTTAAAAAAAGGGGGGGGGTCCAATATGAAAAGTTTCTTTTTATTTAAGTAATCTCTACACCCAACATGGGGCTTGAAGTCATGACCCCAAAGTCAAGAGTCGCATGCTCTTCCAACTGAGTTAACCAGGTACAGCCAGCATCAAGTTATTTTAAGAGATTCAAAGAGGGGCACCTGGGTGGCTTGGTTGGGCATCTGCTTTTGACTCACATCATGATCCCAGGGTCTTGGGATCAAGCTCTGCATTGTGCTTTCTGCTGTTGAAGAGCCTCCTTCTCCCTCCCCCTCTGTTCCTCCCCTCTGCTCCTGCTTCTGTCACTCTCTCTTTCAAAAGAAAAAAAGAGAGAGAGAGATTCAAAGAGACTGAATTGAAACGATGTCTATTAAGAGATTTGGTTAAATAATTTTTCTTTGCCAAACTCCTTCGGGCTTCCCTCTAAGGAGTTCCTTAAGACCATGGCAGCTTTGGAAGGAAATATTTTCTAGGTGATGTTGGACATAAACTTGTCCTTTATTTTCACAGAGGGCCAGAAGGAGCTGTCTCAGCTCAGATGGCTTTCCCCCTGTATTTTGAGGTGGGTGGAGCTAAGAATGATGTCCCTAAAGTGCCTGGATTTTGCTCTTTCCTCTACTGGGTCCTGTAACTCCTGCTAAATTCCTTTATTGCTATGAATAGACTGGACCAATAAAAAGGAAAAACAACTACCAAAAACAATTCATGGATGTTGTTTTTCAGACATTCTAGAAAGATGTATTATCCCAGTACATGCATTCATGTTGTTCTTCATTAACACTACGTGTTCTCATGTCATGGTCTACCAAGTGGCTCCAAAGTACTTTTGTACAGACATAAGTTGGAAACCCAACACATGGGCGCCTGGGTGGTTCAGTGGGTTAAGGCCGCTGCCTATGGCTCAGGTCACGATCTCAGGGTCCTGGGATTGAGCCCTGGATCATGCTCTCTGCTCAGCAGGGAGCCTGCTTCCTCCTCTCTCTCTCTCTCCCTGCCTCTCTGCCTACTTGTGATCTCTCTCTCTCTCTCTCTCTCTCTCTGTCAAATAAATAAATAAAATGTTTAAAAAAGAAAAAGAAAACTGGGGTTCTGGGGTGGAGTCCCACATTGGATTCCCTGCTTAGCGGGGAACTACAGATACATAAAGTTTTTTGAAACTTTATGTCAAATAAATAAATAAAATCTTTTTAAAAAAGATAAATTCTAACTAACAAAGCATAGTTGGAAGGGGTAGGGGAGGTTTCATTTGGAGAAAAAAAGACCTGGGAATACTCTGAGTTGGAAAGGCACATGTGGAATTCAAAGAACTGAAGGGAGATCGATGCATTTATAGTACAATGTGTGATGAGGACCTGTGCCACCGAGGCACCCCTAAAAATAAAATCTTAAAAAAAGCCACACAGTTATAAATTAGCTTTTAAAAAAATATTTAATGTATTTATTTGACAGAGAGAGATCACAAGTACGCAGAGAGACAGGCAGAGAGAGAGAAAGAGAGAGAGAGAGAGAGAGAGAGAAGCAGGCTTCTTGCTGAGCAGACAGCCCAATGCGATGCGGGGCTTGATCCCAGGACCCTGAGATCATGACCCCAGCCGAAGGCAGAGGCTTAACCCACTGAGCCACCCAGGCGCCCCATAAATTAGCTTTTTATAAAATTTAGAGGATTTAGTATAGAGCTTCCAATTTTACTTCCACTTCTGTTGATTTTTGCTTCCATCTGTCAAAATCACTGATGACACAGGTAATGGAGAAGTTTTCTGCGGGAACCGGAAACGATCCCTGTTGTCCACCTGCTTCGCTTCAGGGCAGCCTAACATACCTTCTCTTGCTCTTCTGTTCTGGCCCTGTATGCAGTCTTTTTTCTTCTTCCTGACAAGCACATTAGTACCAAAGTGAGTAATGCTTCAGGCCATGCACATTTGAAGAACAACACCATAATGTTTCCAGCTGTGCGTGAACTCTTTTACGTCTGAACGACCTATGGAATGAGATGTCATTTGATAGAGGATTTCCGGACATCTCAAATATTTTCATCCCCATGGCGCAGGCTGAGCTTTTTAGAGTTAAAATAACGTCTGTCCGCCGCGTTTACCCACGAGCAAAGCCCCTCCCGCTCGGACGCAGGAGCACCACTAGCATCCCCGGGCTGCCACCTGGACCGTCCTCTGGTCGACCGCTGTGAGCGCCCTTTGCAGCTACTACATTTCCCAGAACGTCCTGCGATGGGAGGCCGCAGTCATGAGCCAATGAGGGACCAAGGTGAGGGATATCCGCCCTGCGCTTCGCCTCGAGGCGGGGCTTCCGGCCCTCATCATCCTGGTCATTTCTGGTTCTCGTTGGTTCTTTCACCGGGTTCGAGGTTCCGGAGCTCCGGGGCTGGGTCGTGGTGGCGCGACCAGAGGACGGGCGGGAGGAGGCGCTGTCCCCGCCGCACAGACTTGGATCCGCTGCTCAGCGACGGCACAGGGGACAACTGGTCCCCTCCACCCACGGAGTCTGATGGCGGCGGCCGAGCCCAGAGACCACGCGCAGGTAAGTGCTCGTTCCCCGGGCCCTCCCCCACCCAGACCCCGAAGGCCCGAGCGCGGGGCGCCTGCTCGCGGCCCTGCGGCCCAGGCCCCGGTGTCCGGGACAGGGAGGCGCCGGTGGGTGGAGGCGCGTGTGTGAGCGCCGGCGGGCTGCGTGCGGGAGCGGGCTCCGGGCTGAGGGGCCGCCGGGGCGGGGGCTGCAGGGGTCCTGAGGCGGGAGGATTCTACCCTCAGGGGACGAGGGGACTGAGAGCGTGAGGCGGAGACCCCTGGACTGGCGTGCCGCGGTGCGGTACCTTCGCTCCTAGGGCCCTGGAGGGTCGTGAGCAGAAGAGGTACGCTGCTTGTGTTAGGGTGTTAGCGGCTTTCCAGAGGCTGCGCGAGGGAGCACAGGCTGGAATGGGGGTGATGACGACGAGGGAGCCCTGGGAGTGGAGTTCTTGACGGAGGTCGCAGAGCTGGTGGGAGGAGCACTGAGGCACAGAGATTGGTCCGCTAACAGGTCACTTGACTACAGAGGATGCCCAGCTCACTCGGTTTACCTTACTCTTCCCACCGTTTTTGGAGGCTGAAAAGGCACTTGTGGCACCTACAGAAGGAGGGAGAGGGTCTCCCAGTCTCTCGCGTGCCCTGACACCACCCCTATGGTATATGGGATCGTGGTAACCTGAAACTCACATATTTTCCCAGCTGTTGGGTCTGGGACCTTCGAGATACCCCAAGTTCAGGGTCCTGCATGCACGCCGAGGGTTACATGGAGGTGTTCTTGGTTTAGTCAGCCAGTGTAAACAGGTGTGGAAGGTTATCTCAGGAACAGATTTCAGTTCGTGTAAATGCTTGGAGGCGTGCTGGAATTAGAAACAGGCTACAGCAGGTCTTCATTCTTTCTGTTACGAACAAAGAGCAGGAGATCAAGAATCGGGTCTGTAATGTGGGCTGCCTGAGAACTTGGGCATCTGTTAGTGAAGTAGCGGGCAGTTTGGATAGGAGGAAAGAGTTGGTGATGCCCAGGTTTAACAAGCTCCATGTGGCTGCACAGTGGAGAACAGATTATGGAGTTAAGGAAGGAGACAGGAAGCCCAGGAGGAGGCAATTGGCTATAATCGATGGAGAGGAGTGCTGGCTGTGGAGGTTGAAGAAAGGGTTGGACTTCTGTCCATTTTTTTTTTTTAAAGATTTTTTTTAATTCATTTGACAGATCACAAGTAGGCAGAGAGGCCGGCAGAGAGAGACAGGAGGAGGCAGGCTCCCTGCTGAGCAGAGAGCCTGATGCTGGACTCGATCCCAGGACCCTGAGATCATGACCTGAGCCAAAGGCAGAGGCCTAACCCACTGAGCCACCCAGGCGCCCCACTTTTGTCCATTTTTTAAGAAGGGCCAAGTAGACTTTTGGATGTTGTAGATGAGGGAGAGAAAGGAGGTGTCAGGGATGATCTCAGGGTTTTTGGTCTTAGCAGCTGAAGCTATGGAAGGTCCATCAACTGGGATGGGGAAGTTGGTGGTAGGTTAATTTCCACTGAGAATATCTTAAGGTTTTTGGCCCTATTAAGAATCTGAGAAGTTTCAGAGAACTGAGTAAAAGCATCAGATGGTCTGCGGGACGCACAGGTCTGGAATCTGGGGAGAGATCCAGGATGGAGACATCCAAAAGTGATGGGTATTGATTGTGTGGACCAAGGTGGAGATTTGAATTACATATAGGAGGGGTTATGCAGGTTGTGGTGTCATGGTGATAATGCTACTAGTGAGTTAGAAAGAAGAGGGTGCACGCTGGGGGGAGAAATTTGATAGTGGGAGCAGTATAGAAGAGAATGATCTGGCAGGCAGGCAGCCAAGACTTCCCTGGGATGAGTGGACATGACATGGCTACGGAGGCAGAGTAGTAATTGAATCAAGATGATAGGCCAGGCCCACTGTTTACTCACTACTGTACAGATTCACCAGAATCTTGTGGTGAGCTTTTATGGCATCTGTGGTGTTTCAGTCTTGCCGGTGGACAAGGTCTGAGGAAATTTGTTCATTTGTGAGGGTCACTGTGCCTGGCTTGGAGACCAATGGGGATTTGACGTGCCTTTAATGAAGGTTAAGTGGAGACAGGAGGGTTATTGCTGCTGAGGGACAGCAAGGGAAGCACAGAAGTATGAGAGGGTCACATGTATCTGAAATTGACTTGTGGTTCTGGGTGACTAATACTGAAGCAAAGATCACAGGTCTTCTAAGCAGGCCTTCCAAGCAGCACTTGGGGCTTTCTTTGTCAGTGGGATCCATCAAAGGACAGGGGCTATACGAGATCATGTTTGAAATTTTCAAACACTCTGGTTGCCATGTGCCCGGTGCGTGGGTGAGTCCAGGGACATCCCTGTGCTGTGGGGCACAGAGATGGCAGAGCTGTGGGAAAGCATTTGAGAGATCCAAAGATGTGAGAGAGGTGTGGTCTTCGGAATGATGTGCACATTGAGAATAAGCATGAACTGAGTGCCCTAGTGCCCTGGTACGGGGAACCTCAGGGTGAAGCATGAGCCCATGTGGTTAGCTCTTGTGTGTACAATCTGTGAGATGTAGGGGAATTGCTTGGTAGAAGTGATGGGGCCCTGCAGCCCAGCCCAGAGCTTACATGACACTTATCTGTCCCCCTGCCTGTTGTTGCTGAGGGCTGCATGAACGGGATCGTGAGGAGAGAACAGCTCTCAGTCACTCTAAGGCCTGGTACCTCCTCTGGCGTGGGGAGCTCCAGAGGAGGAGAAATGTGGGGTAGACATAGAGGAGATGGAGTGTGAGTTCTCAGAGAATGTTCGTGGTTTTATCCATCCCATTCTTGACAGGGTGGCCTCACCTTTGAGGATGTTGCTGTGTACTTCTCCCAGGAGGAATGGCGTCTCCTTAATGAGGCTCAGAGACGGCTGTACCGCGATGTGATGCTGGAGAACTTTACACTTCTGTCCTCACTGGGTAAGGCCCTCCCCCTCCCCAGCGATGTAAACTGGGTTTTGCATTACCCCCTGCAGAGGGTGCTTTGTCCTTTCCAGCATGTGGACCATAGGTACCACTTGCTTCAGCAGTTTCTTGGATAGTCCTTGCTGGGGCTGTGTTTTCGCAGCCCCCTCTGCTCTCCCCACGGACTCAGTGCTATCTGCATCTGCGCTGACCCCTCGCAGGAGGAATTGGAGTTCTGTAGACTTGCAGTGAGGCTAGTGGATGGCGTCTTGTTTGTCCTCTCCCTGGCCAGGTCATCTCTCTAGGTCTGTGTTACTTTTGTGTCCCTGGTTTTGTTTCCTTTTTTTATCTGACAGTTCATTGTGCTTCCTTATGCTGGGAATTACAGGTATTATCATGGTCTTTACCCACCTGGACCATGGACTGTATTTTTAAGACTGTCTTGTACTGTTTTACTTACAGTGTTCAGATTTCTTTCCTTTTTTTAAAACAGCTTTATTGAGGTGTAACTGACAAGTAATATTGTGTGTATTTATATTTTTTTTATTTTTTTTTAAGATTTTATTTATTTATTTGACAGACAGAGATCTCAAGTAGGCAGAGAGAGAGAGAGGGAGGGGGAAGCAGGCTCCCCGGCCAGCAGAGAGCCTGACGAGGGGCTCGATCCCAGGACTCTGGGATCGTGACCTGAGCCGAAGGCAGAGGCTTTAACCCACTGAGCCACCCATGCGCCCCTGTGTGTATTTCTATTTAAAGTAGATAGTGCTATGACTTGATATTCATATACATTATGACATGATTACTCCAAACAGCTTAATTAACGTATCTGTCATTGTGCATATTTACCTTTTTGGGGTGTATAAGAATATTTAAGATCTGTTCTCTTAGCAAATTCAAGTATGCAGCTCAGCATTATTATTAACTGTACTCACCATGCTGTGCATTAGGGTCACAGAACTGCATCAGTTTGTAGCTGACAGTAGCTCCCTGTTTCCTGTGGCCCCCAGCCCCTGGCATTCTATTCTTTGTTTCTATGGGTTGAACAGTGTGTTGTTGTTGTTTTTTAACTACAAAGCAAAAATATTTTAATTCTTTTTTTCTTTCTTTCTTTTTAAGATTTTATTTATTTGACAGAGAGAGAATACAAGCAGGGGGAGAGGAAGAAGCAGGCTTCCTGCTGAGCAGGGCAGCTCAATCCCAAGACCCTGAGGTCCTGGGATCATGACCTGAGCTGAAGGCAGACGCTTAACAACTGAGCCACCCAGTGCCCGTTTTAATACCTTTAAAATCCAAATTTCTCTTTCACATCATTCATAAAAAAGATTTTCAAGTCAGAATTAACACCTCAGTTAGTCAAGCATCAGGAAGCGACATTACAGATGTTTAGTATACAAAGGGACATCTGTTCCTCAGTCACTTCCTTCTCATGTCTGTTTCCAGAATCGTACAGACTCTTTCACTTCTCTCCACTCCCCATGCCACCGTTTCTTCAGATCATGAAGACTGAATTTGTTGAACACCAGAAATCTGTTGATACGACATCCTGTAAACCATGATACGTGGTTGTTGACCATCTGCAGTTACTAGGCCAGCTGGTAACTGGTTAGGAAGTGCCTCCTCTGGAAGTTCTTCACTTAGTCCATCTGTAGCTATGACTCTGCCACCAATTCCTTTTTCTCCTTTCATAGCCTCTCTGAATTTCTTTTTTTTTTTTTTTTTTTTAAGATTTTTATTTTATTTTTATTTATTTGACAGATCACAAGTAGGCAGAGAGGCAGGCAGAGAGAGGAAGGGAAGCAGGCTCCCCGCTGAGCAGAGAGCCCAATGCGGGGCTCAATCCCAGGACCCTCGGATCATGACCCGAGTCGAAGGCAGAGGCTTAACCCACTGAGCCACCCAGATGCCCCAGCCTCTCTGAATTTCTGAAGGTATAATTTTAGAGGTTCAACACAACTGTCACAGCCTGAGGTCAGCATGGCAAATATCTTCTCCCTTGATTGTCTTCCATTTCTCTTCATGACATCTTTCACTTGCTTCAGATGTTATAAAGCTGATGAACTCACTTAGTCATTCTTTTTTTTTTTTTAATTTTTTTTAAATTTTTTTATTTACTTTTTTTTTTTTAGTTTTTAAGATTTTGTTTATTTATTTGACAGAGACACAGCGAGAGAGGGAACACAAGCAGGGGGAGTGGGAGAGGGAAAAGCAGGCTTCTGCAGAGCAGGGAGCCCAATGTGGGGCTCGATCCCAGGAGCCCAGGATCGTGACCCAAGTCAAAGGCAGATGCCCAACCGACTAAGCCACCCAGGTGCCCCTCTTTTTTTTTTTTTTAAAGATTTATTTATTTACTTGACAGATCACAAATAGGCAGAGAGGCAGGCAGAGAGAGAGAGGGGGAAGCAGGCTCCCTGCTGAGCAGAGAGCCCGATGTAGGGCTCAATCCCAGGACTCTGGGATCATGACCTGAGCCAAAGGCAGAGGTTTTAACCCACTGAGCCACCCAGGCGCCCTTACTTATTCTTGAACACAGTTTTCTGTTTGAGGTATGGCATTTTTCATTATTCTTGCTACATTTGCAGTTGGAAGATAGTTATCTTGTTCTCTGAAACTGTCTTTTGAACCATTTGTGTCTTCATGATCCTTCATGCTGTCCTCAGTGTCCTCATGAGGCTGAATCACGTAGTGGCTTCTTCCCATGTGATCTACAGAAATGCCTAGTAGAGAAGCATCTGTTGTAGCACTGTGGGCACCCATTGTCATGAAATTCTGTCAGAACCATGTTGTCAGTGGTGTTCAGGGACACCTTTCTAAAAATGGGTCCTAATATTTGCCCGCTTTCAACCTTTGGGGCATGTCCAGGGACCGCAAGCCACCAGATGGCTGCATTCTTTTTTTCTTTTTTCTTTTTTTTAATGATAGACAATTGGGTGCCTGGGTGGCTCAGTGGGTTAAAGCCTCTGCCTTCAGCTCAGGTCATGATCTCAGGGTCCTGGGATCAAGACCCACGTTGGGCTCTCTGCTCAGCAGGGAGCCTGCTTCCCCCCTCTCTCTGTCTGCCTTTCTGCCTACTTGTGACCTCTCTCTGTGTCAAATAAATAAATAAAAAATCTTTAAAAAAATAAAATAAATGATAGACAATTGTTTTGGGTCTTGTTTTTTGTTTTTTTTAAGATTTTATTAGTTTTTTTTTTTTTTTTTTTTAAGATTTTTGTTTATTTGTCAGAGAGAGAGAGAGCAAGCACAGGCAGACAGAGTGGCAGGCAGAGGCAGAGGGAGAAGCAGGCTCCCTGTCGAGCAAGGAGCCCGATGCGGGACTCAATCCCAGGACGCCGGGATCATGACCTGAGCCGAAGGCAGCTGCTTAACCAACTGAGCCACCCAGGCGTCCCAAGATTTTATTAGTTTATTTGACAGAGACACAGCAAGAGAGGAAATACAAGCTGTGAAACTAGCAGAGGGAAAGCAGGCTTCCCACGAACTGGGAGCTCGATGCAGGGCTCGATCCCAGGTCCCTGGGATCACGACCTAAACCTTAGGCAGATGCTTAACGACTGAGCTGCCTGGGTCCCCCTGATGGCTGCATTCTTTGCATGTAAGCCAGACTGCAGGGAGACCAAATCCGCTCCTTCCTCCCTGGCACCTCGTTTCCTCCCCACAAAGTTGTGCAGGCTGGCTGTGACCCCACTGCCCCGCCGACTGTCAGTCCTATTGGTGCGTGGCCACCAACTCTGGTGTCCTTTCCCCGACTTACCGGCCCAGACCCTGGGCCGCGCCCAACACGTGCTGACCACCTAGCCCCCTAGGGCACTAGGGCACCGGAGTGGACAAAGCTGCCCTGCCTTACCCTGCCACACGCCCACCAGGTGGTGGGGAATATCGGGGACAGGGCCCAGCTCCCCTCACAAAATGGAGCTGGCTGGGGAGCCGCCTCCAAGGGTGGGGAGATAGGCGGTGGTGGCCTGGTCTGTGTCCCGCTGCTCCTGGGCCCGGAGCACACAGAGCCCACCACATGGAGGCCCAGCACCTACTCCCAGGCTGGACCTGCAGTGGGAGCGGCATTGTAGGCGCCTGCCAGCTGGCCACGCACAAGTGGGAGGGAGGTGAGTGACCCTGGCCAGTGTGGTGGTGGGCCTGCCTCTTTTATTTATTTATTTAAAATTCCAGGGGCGCATGGGTAGCTCAGTGGGTTAAAGCCTCTGCCTTCAGCTCGGGTCATGATCCCAGGGTCCTGGGATCAAGCCCCGCATCGGGCTCTCTGCTCAATGGGGAGCCTGCTTCCCCCTCTTCCTGCCTGCCTCTCTGCCTACTTGTGATCTCTGTCAAATAAATAAATAAAATCTTTAAAAAAATAAAATAAAAATAAAATAAAATTCCACATATAAGTGACACCATATAGTATTTGTCTTGCTCTGACTTACTGCACTGTGAGTTTTGTCCTCCAGGTTTATCCATGTCAATTTATGGATATGGATTTCCTTTTTTTATGGCTGAATAATATATAGCATATATATATCAGGGTTTATCATTCATCTGTAGAAAGATCCTTTCCATAGAAAGCTACATAGAAAGGTTGTTTCTGTACCTCGGCTGTTGTGAATAATGCTTCAGTGAACACAGGGCTGCAGGTGTCTCTGGGAAATACGGATTTCATCGCCTTTGGACGTGTGCAGAGAAGAGGGATTGTTGAACCATATCATAGTTTGTTTTTCAGTTTTTTAAGATTTTTTAAATTATTTTTAAGTAATCTTTATGCTCTGTGTGGGGCTCAAACTCACAATCCAGGCATAAAGAGTCACAAGCTCTTGGGACTGAGCCAGTCAGACACCAGACACCCCTATTTTTAATTTTTTAGAGGTCTTCTATTCTGTACCAATGTCTGTACGAGTGCATCTTACCAGCTATATGTAAGGGTCTCCTTTTCTTCACATTCTTCACCAACATTTGTTACCTCTTGCTTTTTTTTTTTTTTTTTTTTTTTAAGATTTTATTTATTTATTTGACACAGAGAGATCACA